CCTTAGAGCAGCTCCAGTGCCTGAAGGGGCTGCAGGAAACCTGGAGAGGGGCTTGGGACAAGGGCCTGTAGGGCCAGGCCAAGGGGAATGGCTTGAACCTGCCCGAGGGGAGACTGAGCTGAGCTCTTAGGCAGGAGCTCTTCCCTGTGAGGGTGCCGAGGTGCTGGCACAGGGTGCCCAGAGAAGCTGTGGCTGCCCCATCCCTGGCAGTGCTCAAGGCCAGGTTGGACACAGGGGCTTGGAGCAAGCTGCTCCAGTGGAAGGGGTCCCTGCCTGTGGCAGGGGTTGGAGCTGGGGGAGCTTTAAGGTCCCTTCAACCCAACCCAGGCTGGGATTTGAGGACTTCTGAAAGTCCTAGAAATAGGAAAATCCCCTCAGACCTGCACTGGTGATGGTGAAACTGCTCCTGCCTGGCCACAGGGGTCTGAGCCCATGGTCAGGAAGCTCTCAGAGGTGATTCTGTGCCAGATCTCAGTGGCAGCACCTGGGAAACACCAGACTGGGGCAGTTCAGAGCAAACCTCGCTCTTCCTCTCTCCACCGAGTGATGGCAACGGGACGAAGCCTCAGAGGGACCATGCCAGCACTCCAGAAACCATCAGTTCCCACCTTCCATAGGGCCTTCAGGAACAGAGGAGCACCCAGCAGGTACCAGGAGGAGACTTCAGCACTGATTTACTTCCTGCCCTCCACTGTTGCTTTGGAGTTTGGGTGCAGGAGCTGGGGGGGAGGTTTCTGACTGTGAGCCCTCCACTGGTTTGAACTGGTGCTCAGCACCGCTTCAAACCTAGCCCTGGGTCTCCAGGTGGATGGGTTGGGGTTCCCCATAACCACGTGGCCCTGGTGCATTCTAACCCCATCTCTGAGCCTGGTGCTCTGCTCCCATCCCAAACCTGCCTCCTTCTGCTCTCTCATCTGCCCTGATGCATCCGTGTCCATACAGCATCCGGATCCAATGGGATAACACTGGGGGTTTCACTCCAAGCTTTCCTGTTGGATGCTTGGCTGGTTTTGACCAGGCTTTCCCAACCTGCTGGGGTGACCTCTATCCATATGCTGCTGTTCCCATAAGGAAAAATGTGTGTGTGCATCAGCTCCGTGTCCGCCTCATCCCTCTGTGTCTTGTTCCCTGTCCTACAAATAAAGCAGTTGTGAAAAGCCTGGAGTGGGAATTCCTCCTTTCCCTTCCTTCAGCTCCAGCCCTCGGCCTCCTCAGGGCACCCTGGGGAGGGAGAGTGTGAATGCATCCCAGATATCCCCTCATCCATCCAGGAGGAGGAGGGATGCTTTAGCCACAGCTTTTCCCCTCCCCTCCGTATCCAATGGCTCCAACATGGATAGAAACATCTGGAAGTAATAACTGGCATTGCTCTGGCTCTGCAGTTAACCTGTGCTGGGCTCCCTCTGCTTCCTAACAGCCGGAATGCTGGGGGGATGCTCCTATGGGAAAAGCAAAGGAATTCAGGGATGTTTGCTGACTTTCATATCCAAACACGTTTAACAGAGCCTGGATTTGCTCCTGGACCATGCTCCCAGCTCATCATTGTGCCTGCTCAAGGGTTAACATGGGGCTGGATGAACACAGCCATGGGGGATAAAGGTGCAGTTTTGAACCCGATCCATGGAGTTCCCAATCTTTATCCCTTTTTCTTCCAGAAGCAATGGGGCAGCCTGGGCCCCCCCTTCCTGCTCTATCCCCTTGTGCCTCCATCCAGAGGGGTTGTAGTCTCCAGACCTCAAACACATGGAGCTGGATGGATACAGGGAGCCTTTGTGCTGGGGCTGCTGCCATCCTCCACCCTGCTCCTTTTTGGCCTTCCAGTCACGCAGGTGCTGAGCTCGGGATGGACAAAGGGAGCCTGTGATGGGGATCCCATGGGATCTGTGCTTCCTTCTCCCTCCCCAGCTCCCCTCTTACAGCCGCTGCCTTGTGAAGGAGAAATCCCAACCCCTTTGTGGGATGCTGCTGTTGGGATGGATGTGGAATGTGGGGCTGCACACTGAGCTCCAGGCACTGCAGTGGGTTCGGTGGAGGAAGGAGAGCGAAGCCCCTTTGGTTCCCTATGGATGCCACGTTCACTCTGAAGCCTACTGATGGCCATTGGAACGCCGGGTCACTGCTCTGTTCACCCTTTCCATCTAGGACTTGATGCATTTAGGATCCAGGCTGGATTCAGGTGAGAGGGGACACACACATAACCCCCCTCATCCTATGGGATGCCCCACCGGAATATTCCCTCCAGACTCCATCATCTTTCATCTTTATTCCCACCAATAGCACCCAACAGCGCTGCCACCCCTTTGGGTGCACCCATGGGTGCCACATCCAGGAGCCCACGGTGACCTCATTCCTCTGGGTCCGTGCTGCAGGGCCGCCGGAATTCCTGCCCGTACTCATGGATCCATTTGTTGGCCACTGGAAGGGACAAGGACAAGGACCCTCGTCTGCCCCTGCTCTTCCCCATTATCCAGGTTTTCCCTGGATCCCATCCCAGTGTCACCCCGGTGCCTCACCCCACTTGTCCCCAGCCAGCACTGGGCAGGCAGCGTGCAGCGTGGCCCCGGCCCCGGCCCCGTTCCGATGCAGGTTCCACCAGAAGAGAGCCGCGTTCTGCCGGATACAGAGGGAATGGACCCGGAATGGGGCCGTGAGCAGCAGGATTGGGGTTGAAGCCCCCCAAAATAGAGCCAGGAGTCCCAAAACTTGGGGTTTCCACCCCAAAACAAAGCCTTGAGCACCAGGATTGGGGTTGGAGCCCCCAAAACAGGGGGTTTCCACCCCAAAACAGATCCAGGAGTCCCAAAACTCAGGGTTTCCACCCCAAAACAGAGCCAGGAGCCCCAAAACTTATGGTTTCCACCCTAAAACAAAGCCTTGAGCACCAGGATTGGGGTTGGAGCCCCCCCAAACATAGATGGGAGTCCCAAAACTCGGGATTTCCACCCCAAAACAGAGCCAGGAGTCCCAAAAGTCAGGGTTTCCACCCCAAAACAGAGCCTTGAGAACAAGGATTGGGGTTGGAGCTCCCCAAAACAGAGCCAGGAGTCCCAAAACTCAGGGTTTCCACCCCAAAACAGAGCCTGGAGCACCAGGATTGGGGTTGGAGACCTCAAAACAGAGCCAGGAGTCCTAAAATTCAAGGTTTCCACCCCAAAACAGAGCCTTGAGAACAAGGATTGGGGTTGGAGCTCCCCAAAACAGAGCCAGGAGTCCCAAAACCCAGGGTTTCCACCCCAAAACAAAGCCTTGAGCACCAGGGTTGGGGTTGGAGTTCCCCAAAACAGAGCCAGGAGTCCCAAAACTCGGGGTTTCCACCCCAAAACAGAGCCTTGAGCACCAGGATTGGGGTTGGAGCCCCCCAAAAGAGAGCCAGGAGTCCCAAAAGTCAGGGTTTCCACCCCAAAACAGAGCCTTGAGCACCAGGATTGGGGTTTGGTACCCCAAAATAGAACCGTGAGCTCCAGAACTGGGGCTTGGAACCCTCAAAACAGAGCCGCAAGGTTCAGAATTGGGGTTGGAACCCCAAAATAGAGCCCTCGAGGCTCAAAATTGGGGTTGAAACCCCAGAATAGAGCTGGGAGCACTGGGATTGGGGTTTTGCCCCCCAAAACAGAGATGGGAGGCCCAGGACTGGGGGTTGGAACCCCTAAAACAGCACCGGGATCCCCAGAATTGGGGGTTAGAACCCAAAATAGAGCCAGGAGCAGAAGTGGTGGGGTGGGACATCCCTAAACCGGAGCTGGGAGCGTGAGGTTTGGCCACCCTAAACCAGAGCTGGGATCCCCAAAAGGGGACTTCGGCACCCCAAAACACAGATGGGAGCGTGAGGATTGGGGGGTTGAGCCCCAAAACAAGACCGGGATCCCTGCAATTGGGGTTTGCCACCCAGAACAGAGCCGCGAACCCCCCAAAGCGGGATGTGGGCATTCCCACAACGCAAATGGGAGCCCCAAAGCTGAGGTTCCCCCCCCCCCCCAAACCCAAGTGGGCTCCCCCTCACCTTGACCACGGGCACGCTGATGTTAGCGGTGATGAAGGCGGTGGAGCCGCCGGCTTCCACTGCGCTCAGCTGGGGGAGAAGGAGACAGGAGCATGGCCCTTCCCTTCCTTGGGCCGTCCCTTGGTTCTCAGCCCCATTCCCCCCCTATGGCACGGCACAGGGGGCAGAGCTCACCGGAGAGCCCATAGAGTCATGGAATGTCCCTTCACCCCCTTCCTTCACCCCCCCTCATCCCCCTTCCTTCACCCCCCATTCGATCACCCCCATCCCTTCA